AGTATCTTGCTATGACACAGAGAAGGTGTTCTCTGATGTCATGTTCTTTTAAAAAGTGATCGGTTTGGACATCGGTAAATGAATGCTAAATCTTGCTTCCTTATTGATGTCATCTAGCCCATCTCCAATTGAAAATAATTACTTCTAAGAAAAATTTACTTCGGACTTTCTTCCAACACATTTTCAGACATAGAGTTACTGTCTTGCTTCCAAATTCTCTAACTTCCCTCAGGATGAACTTTCAGATGCATTTATACAATATTAATACAAAAATATGTGACATAAAATCTTGTATCAGGAAGTCAGTAATATGGAGTTTAAAAATATTTATGGGATAAAGATGATGATTGACTCCTACTGGAATTCTGAACAGTGCTTAAGTGAACCTCATCTCTAAACATCTAAGTACCTCCAAAAATGTTGTTCAATCCTTAATATTTTTTTAAATGTACAAATAAATATCAAACTGCTATCTTGATTATAGTAATAATTTCCATACTGCATCAAATAAAATTCTTCCTTCCCAAATTGATCTGAAATCGACACAGAGTATCCATCTGCTGTAGTGCAGCAGAAAACCTAACCATAGAACAGGATCTGTTTTGCCACATGTTACAGGAATTCTTCATCAGAGGAAGTTTTCCTGTTATATTTGCATTGATGCATTAAAAAGTCAATTCTGAACAGAGGTTGCTACAAATTATTTACAATTTCTGAGGAAAATAATGATAATATATCCTACCATTGTGGTCTTTTGTGAGAAATGACATGAAAATCAGAGTGAAAAATTCATATCCCTAATTCTAGTCTTGTTTATAGATACATTTTAAAGCCTTGGAAATCAATAAAAATGTCTGGATTTTTATCAGTTTCCCAAAGAGTAAAATTTTACAGTGTGAAAACTGCAGTTTCTTTTACAGAGAAAATTAGTGACTAACTACAAGTATTAGGCATTTTTAATGATCAGCTACTCCAAATCTTTCTGCTTCATGAAATGAAGTATTAGTTTATTTAGCATTATCCAGCAGAAAACGTAACAGAGAGGCTAGCTCTTCATACGGTATTACACATCCCTCTTTCTCAAACTCATGTATTGTACTGATTGACACATCGATACAAAGGTGTTTGGAAAGCTCTATTTCATTTGTAGAACATGATTAATTACTGCTCTGTTATGGACTTATTTGGTGACCACAAACAAGCCCACATTTCTCTGTGATTCATTTCTTCAGCTTTGAACTGGGAATATTAAAACTTTCATCTAAGCTTTATCTTAGACTATAACTCCTCAGTGCTAAGACTGCCTTTTGATGTGCATGTACAATACAAAATATAATGGGGCCATTGCTGGGCAGATCAGAAACATCAGCAACAACTTTATTATGGTAACAGTAATGATAATATTAATAGCATATTTTTACATGTAACTTGCATTGATCATAGTAGTGTCTAGGTTGAATGAAACCTAGAATACTTTTCTAGAGGTAACTATGGATTTAGCAAAATCTTACAATTTTTCTTTTTTTTTATTTTGTTTTGTGTTTCACTTAGGGAAATTTAAGTTTTTCTTGTGTGGAGCCACATACAATGCCTGTCTTTTTCAATGCCACCAGTTACCTTGAGGTTCCTGGTCGTCCAAGCCAGGATTTGTTTTCAGTCAGTTTCCTTTTCCGAACCTGGAACCCCAATGGACTTCTTGTCTTCAGCAACTTTGCAGATGACCTGGGAAATGTTGAGATTGATATAAATGAGGGCAAAGTCAGTGTCCATATCAATGTCACACAAGTGAAGAAGAACCGAATAGACATCTCATCAGGTAAGTGGGTTTTTTTTTTTTCAGTTGGTATAAATCTTCTTGGTGTTGTTTAAAAGCGTCATGGACCGAAAAATTAGAAAAATTGTTTTACCAAATACAAAATTTAAATTGCAACTATATTAAATTCTTTATTTTATGTTTCAATTAAGAGGTAGAATTTTGAAACAGTGGTTAGATTAAAAAAAAAAAAAGTCACAAATATTCTGTCATGAAACTCAGAAAATGTATCACCCTTAATCTATGAGGCAGCATTGCTTCTTTTTTTCTTTATGCTGTCTTGCAGCCTTCTCTGCAAAAATGCTTGGTTTCAAAAGGGGAAGGTAATCCCATGTTGAGAGTAGCCTAATAATTACGCTGCTTCTATTACTTCTCTAATAATTAGGAAGCTCTGATGAAAAACAAAAAATCGTGTTTTAACCAAAAGGCTGGCACAAAAAATACTATGACATTCTCTAAGTGTCCTGGAGAAATACCAGAGCTTTCAGTATCTGACTAAGGAGGTTCTGAAAAATACTGAGTAAAAAGTACAGATTAAGTATGTTTCTGGAAGAAAGGATGTTTGATGATGTCAGCTGACCAGCCTTTTAAAATGACTTGATTATTTCAATTTTGATAAATTATACTTTCAGTCTAGATTCTTTATGGAATTTTCAGGACAAGCTGTAGCAAATACAGTGTTAGCTACTTGATGTCAATTAACACTTTTCTCAGCAAAGTCATGACCAAAGCATGGGTTGGAAAATACAGAGTTGGTTGAAGACAGATTTAGCTCCACATAAAAAAAAACAGTGATTATTTGAAGTAGCGTATATGGCAACATAGTTTCTTAGCCAAAAAAAATGGACACATTTTTTTTCCTGAAATAATCTGTGGTTGAGATTTTTTCTTAATTTCATGGTTGAGTCTTCAGTCTTCATCAGTGAGACTGATATACTAGTATAGATCTGAACAAATGACAGCAGCTTTTATGCCTACTCTTCTATTTGATTTCTATTTAAAAATATATTGTCTACACAGTCATATAAACTGTGATGAAATGTAAGAAAAAGAAAAAAATGCCTTTTTAAATGACAAAACATGCATTGAGGAGGAAAGTAACATTTAATTTGGCAAGTGGACATTTTTGTGAGTTATGTCTTTTCATCCTGTTAAAGAAATAGAGCTGAGCATGAAATGGAATTAATTATTTCAAAGATAGAACTAAGATATGAATAACCCAAAATCAGAATTTACCTCTTTTATCATATCTCCTTCCATCATTACAATTTTTTTTTTAGCACAAAAAATCAATAACATAGATTACAAGTTAGCATTTCATTGTCTTTCTTTTATAGATACACTCATGAAAGAATTAAGTAATGCTTTGGTAATAGAATGGAGTCTGGAAGAAAAACATTTTTTTAAGGTGCTAGTGCATGATAATTAGGGAACACATGGAATTACCACCCTCAATTATTTATTTCTTAGTTCTGCCTGATACAAATTCCAGTTTAAAGAGAGAAGTGGCTACCCATGATACTTCTTCATAAGCTTACTTGTGGCTTTTTGGTCCAAGGAATATTTCAGTGCTGATTAGCCAAATATGAGAAATAAAAAAAAATAATCAATTTTCCACTAATTTTGCCCAGCATATATCTTGTTATGAAACCAATTTCAGATTCCATAACATTTGCATTCTGTTAAGTAAACACATGTGAAAACTTCTAATTTGCTCTTCTGCTTTCTACAGACCTTCATGCACAACAAAAATTTGCTAACTACTGCAATTTAAAACCAGAGTATTCATGTTCTGACTTTCTTCTGAAATACTCTAAATTGAATATTCTTCAGAGTACATCTTTTCCGTTTGTATGATCAGTTTACATAATAGACCAAGAATCATATACAGTCATTCAGTTTTATAGCCATGATGCCGTTCTTAATCTCCATACAATCCAATATCTACATACTGCTGTTTGAATATCTTAAAGAGTCGGTAGTTTCTTTTCTTATTACAGTATGTACCACAATAAAAATAAATTTATTGTTTAATTTTCATTGTATGGACTTTTTATATTTACATAGCTATCCTGGGAAAGCTTTGATTTATTTTAATACTTTTTTGCTATTTTTGTCACAACAGGCATTTCAGTGCCTGTGAAATGAATTGTGGGTGTGACCATAAGAAAGTAAAATATGGCATCTGCCAGGGAAGGCTGCAGAAGGAATGCTGCTGTTATATGGCAAATATCACAGTGACCTTCTTGTTCCTACCTTGTAAAGGGAACTAACAGATGTCAGCATATAAACCTGCTGGGCTTATGTAGAAGTCAAAGTGGTCTGCCTTTGGCACAAGGATTTCTGACTGTTGCAGTACTATAAATGTAAGATGAACACTTTTTCACTGATTATTTTTAACAGCTGGCAAAGAAGAATTTTCTGTAGTCAAGTGTGCAGCCTTCTTCTATGTAAATGCATGTGTCAGGTATGAATAATCAGACTTCTGCCTATTGGGAGGTACGCACCCTGGTTATCACAAAGAATTAGGCTAACTAAAACTACAACCTAAATGCAGGTGCGTTTCGTATTTCATAGCTTTGCTGTACTTATGCTTGTCACCTGTAATAGCCTATTTTCCCTGGAGGAAGCTAAAGTGTTTTAGTCCTTATTCCACCTCTCATAATTCAGTAACCTCCTTTCATTAGCAGCTTTTAATGTCAGCTTTCCATGTTGACATGGGTATATCAGCAGTTCATTCTGGGGCATAGTCTAATTCTGGATGTAGAAATAATAGTTGAACTGACTGGCAGGAGTCACATGAGAGAGCAGTATGCTGGTGTGTGGGTGGCACTTTGTTCCTGTGCATCTGTGTACTAAAGATACTGGTGTAGAACACAGTTCTGCTTTTCAGTGTCATAATATTCCTTAAACACCTTAAAGCTGCATGCACTAAATCTGAGAGTGAGTGGAGTTTAGATAAACAGGAGAGTCTAGCCGTCCTATATATCAAATATAGTTACATTTTCACCTTCCTCACTGGTAGCTGAGTACTGCAAACGTCCCCATTGAACTACTTGATGAAGTGATTTGTGATTCCTGGGAGGTTGTCATGGTTTGAGCCCAGAGGGCAACAGAGCACCAGGCAGCTGCTCATTCATTCTTTCACCCTTGAGAATGGGAAGGAGAAAATAAAACAAAAGGCTTGGGAATCCAGACAAGGACAGGGAGGAATGACTCACCCTCCCTGGTCACAGGCAAAAAACAGACTCCAGGATGGGAATACGAAGAACATCAATTCAAACACTAAAAACAACAACACTTAACAGAGTAGTACAGTAATGATCATGACCACATCTTAAAAAACCTTCCCCATGCCTCCCTTCTTCCTGGGCTCAGCTTTGCTCCTGATTTCTCTCCCCCCTCCCCACCAGTGGCACAGTGGGCAGGGGATGGGGGTTGTGGTCAGTCCATCACCCATTGTCTCTGCTGCTCCTCCCTCCTCAGGGGGAGGACTCCTTGCACTCTTCCCCTGCTCCAGTGTGGTTTCCCTCTCACGGCAGACAGTCCTACACAAACTTTCTCTGACATGACTCTTTCCCATGACCTGCAGCTCTTCCCGAACTGCTCCAGCATGGGTCCCCCCCATGTGTTGCAGTCCTCCCACAGAACTACAAGAGCAGAGTCTTCTCCCCTCAGAGTCCTGTCCTTTGAGCACAGAGGCCTGCCTGGTGTGGGGTCCTCCACAGGATGTAGATCAGCAGCTGTTCCACCGGTGACCTCCATGGGTGGCAGGGGTGTGCTCCTGCCCTCTCACCACAGGCTGAAAGGGCGCTCTCTACTTCAGCACACCTCCCCCTCTTCCTTCCACTGATCTGGGTGTTCACATAGGTGTCCTTCTCACAACTTTCTCACAACTCTCACTCCTCCTCCCATGTTCCCCTTCTTAAATAGGTTATTTCAGAGGTGCAGCCACCATTGCTAATTGGCTTGGCCTTGGTGCAGAGGTGGGTCCGACTTGGAGCCAGGGGAGCTTCAAGAAGCTCCTCACAAGGGCCACCATTATAGCCCCCTCCCCTGCTACCAAAAACCCCACCACACTCAAACCCAGCACAGAGGGATCAGAGAGATTATGAAAAAGATTTTCCTGTCAATTTGGCAGAACCTTCATACCTAATTAATTTGAGCATTTTGTTTAAGGAGAGAAAGGCAGATGCAGTTTTAAATATTTTGATGACACTTTACAAAAATAAAATTGAAATAATGCCAAAAAGGTACAGTTATAGCAGCTTCACTTCCAGTCTCATATAGGACACAGACCTGTGATTACTACTTTCGTATAGAGTCAGTAAGGTGAATAATTTACAAGACATTGTAAAAAGTTTTGTAGAAAACTGCAAGGTTTAAAAGTAAGAACATTCAAATAATCAGCAAGTGGAACCGATTGACAGTTAAAGAGTGAGAGCTACTACTAATCTGAGAAATAATTATAGGCGTATACTTTATTTTGTATGCCAATTCTACTTTTTCTATTTTATATAGTGATTGAAGGGATAGAATACTCTAAGGTGCTCAAATAAAAAACATGAATGTAAAAAGTTTAACTTCCGTGTAAATACAGAGACTCGAAAAAAAATTGGATCAATAGTAGGCAATTCATGGGAATCATGAAGCAAATATTGCTTTGCACTTAAAAATCACAGAAACTGGGAGTTACCATCAGGCAGTTCTTAGCAGTTTTCTTTGAGTCGCAGAGATCCTTGTCTGCTCTCATCAGTTGTCCTGTTTTTGTCAGGTATAATTTTTTCACAGTGTTAGCAGATCACAGTGTTAGCAGATCACAGCTAACACAACATGTTAGCAACAATCACAGCTCTTAGGTCCTATTTAATGTTACCCTTTGGTCTTCCAAAAGGCAATTAACAGTTCATTTATATAACAGCATGTGTTGCTCAGTGGATATTTCACTATATTCAATTCTTCATGAACTTCTCTCAGTTTCTTAATCAATCTTCTTCATCTTT